CGAAAAGAAATATTGTTAATTCGAATTCGAGGTGTAACTTTACTGCTAATCTAAAAAAAAAAATAATTTATAACGATTTATATTACTTCTGAAAAGGTTAAAAAAAAGGATATCTGAAGAAAATACGAGCAAATTTCGTCAAACATTTCACACATAAAATATTATACCTGAACTAAACCTGCAATCTGGCTAGGAGAAAAGTGAAGATCTACTGAGCACGACTGCATAACATAATCACTGATATCTGACCCTGACTGAAAAATTGGCATATTTTCAAAAAAGTCTCAGTATCAAGCGACATTATAGAGAATTTTTGTTTTTTCATTTTTAATACATCTTTTTGATTATTTGCTAGTAGCAAACAACAAATATTAATAATAGGTTAATACATTTTCAGTTAAAAATTAACAACAGTACCTTAACTCCTTTGGAGTGCACTTTCAAATTTAAGTCTAAATATTATTTATAAATTCAATTGAAAACTGATTTGTTTATACCTCATCCGTTTAAAAATTGTAATGCTGGTTACTTGCTTGTCACAAATATATTTACTTAAAAATTCTTAAGTCATTTCATTGAACAAAACTAGATAATCCAAAATAAAATGATGAATACTAGTAGGCATGTGCATTCAAAATACTAATCAAAAAATAAGTAACAGCTAGAAAAGACATAAAAGTACAAAAAAATGAAGTAAACTTCAAATGAAAATTTTTGAAACAATAATGCTATTTTTTGATGCCAAATAATAATTTGCAGGAAACGAGAAACTAACAACAACATCATGTGTCACTCAGTATTAAGAAAGCTGACCATTTGAAATATGAATTAAAAAACTTACTTCGTTTGCAGTTTTCTGAGATTTATTTGTCTTCACGATATCATCTTCCAAGTGCAACGAGTCTGAACCTTTCCTTTTACCTCTATGCAAGTTAGAAGGAAATGGTGACATGACCTTTACGGAAACTTCTGATACAATTGTAACGAACTTTTTTGGTGGTTAATTTCACACCTGCGAAAACACGGCAATGTACTGCTTGTTCATTTATGCAGTGAACAAATGATTGTCTTTCAATATTTGCAGAAAAATTAAGATAAATTTTAAATATTATTATAAGTTAGGTAGTAAGTAACTATGCATTAAATAATAATAATAATAGTTACTGCGGCTCTGAGAATGAAAACGAAATCCTTTATAATGGATTAGTTAAGATCAAGGCAAAACTTAATAATCAGAAGTCGCAAATGTGAAAAGTCTCTGTACTCCCAAAGCACGTGAGCGCAAATCATATAGAGTAATAATTACGATGTCTTGAACACGTTAATATTGGGTAAGTAATGACAAGAAAAATAGTACACCGTGAAAAGTAGCGATATTTAAATGCAAACTTAAACTTGAGATACTAGCATGCTAACAATTTGAAGGCACAAAAGATGGATTTTGAACCAAATGGTGCTCGTCATGAATGTTAAAAAAACCGCTGCTTATCGTAAAAGCTGTGACTGCGTAAAATCTAGAATGCTTAAGCTCATCATAAACACCATAAAAATTAATGAATACGGACAACAAAGCACTGAATAAGCGAAAAGATCACGCGTCACGTTTTCTTCCTTTGCCGTTAAATACGTACTCTGTGGTCACAGTGCAACCAAAAGGATTTGACCTGCTAGCAGTGTGTTTGGCGTATGACTTCGCACTAAAAGTTTTCTTCCAGCTAGTCAAAAAATAATCTCAGTACGATATTAGACACTAAACTCGGAGTTTTCTATAAATTATTTGTGTGCTCTAGGGTTAAGGGATAGGAATCGTTTTTTTTAAATGTATTTTTACCAAAATAGACCTAGTCTGACTTGCTTGGCAGGCGGTGGAACTCTTTGGTCACATGAAGCTTAGGTCATTGAATCCTTGGCTAATTTTCATTCAATCGAGAATTTTGTGAAGATTTTTAAGAACAAGCAAATTTTTTAAGGTAAGAAATTCGAGAGTTAAAAATTGTGTCAAAAATGTGTGCAAAAGAATTGCGCGACTCTCAGGATAGTCTTTAGTTTTGCAAGAATCCTTTTTATAGATATCTGTGGATGAATTTAAATGTATTCATATATAAGCAGTATTTTTAGACAATAGAGAAACTCATTCGAATTCTGTTACTTTGACTAAAAAACAAACTCAATGAAAAGAAATTGAGTTTGACTTATACAATCCCAAACATCCACTGTGTGTATTCATTATGCTACTTTGAATAAATTTGTCATCTGCTAATATTTAAATTTTTACTCAAAATATTTTCATAGTATAATTATTTGAATAGTTTTAATCTGTGCAAATCTGTCAGAAACAATGTGTGCTAACCAACCGATTTCAGTAAATCTTTCTAAGACAAATATAGTTGTGTGCAAATTATTTTGAATTAATATTACTATTAATGTGTGCTTAGAAAATTTTAGTAAGATAATTTTATTCAAAGAAGCAACAAGTTTATGACATTTTTGCAGCTGCTCAGAAGTTAGTAAGTAAGTAATACCTCCCAATCCATCAGCTTTGTAGTCGTAAAACGAGAAGTAATCAGTTGTAAAACAGACCGACAAATCATGAAAACAAACATTTATGCAATTGTTACACGCATATTTGGATTTGCATGAATAAGGCATAATATGAGGCAGATGGCTCAATAAATAAATATGCATAGATGGCAAGTTAGATAGACTTGTTCTTCCTAACTTTGTACTCACAAGAGACATCTGCGCTGCATGGCGCAAATGCATACACGGAAACTCGCGCATAGCTTAATGATAGCAATTATTTTTAATGCTTTTTTTTTACTTTTTCGTTGATAACTTAATTTTTTCACTTTTTTGGCATCTAATGATCAGTATTCAAATTAAAAATAAATAATAAAAATTAAGTGGTGATAGGACTTTTGGTGTTAATATTCAGAAGATTCTTCTGGCACAATTATTTCCTCTTCAACTCCTATTAGTTTACAATCAGAGCAGTAGTATCGATGGCAGATTATTTAATGAATAATAATTATAATTAGAAATGAGAGGATGTCAAATTTGAGAATTTAACTCACATACTTTTTATAGTATTGTGCACTGCTTTCACTTTTATGTTAAAAAACTATGCAAATTAATCGTCTGATTTTTTACTTTAAAATACAATCAATTTATACCGAAAGTAGTGAATGCACTGATTTCACTCAAATCCATCTCGAACTTGCATTCCTCTGACTGACCTCTCAGTACTGCGTCATTTTGAGCTTCTTTAGATTAAAAAAATTGAAATTACTTGAAACTAAACTTAATTGGAAATCAATTTTATTTCAAGTAGCACATATGTCTTTCAGAAATGGAAGGTTTTGTACTGAATTTCAAAACTTTAGGAATAATTTTATACTGAAATAATATTGCATTACTAAAATAAAGTGACACAATAAATGCTATTAGTAGTAGTACCAATTAAGAATTGTGAGTAGACGGCAACAGAATTTTAATTAATAATAAGTAAAAACAAAAGTAGAAACGACACGTTTCTTTATTTGACATAAGCATGCAAAAGAAAAGCTATGCAAATTAGGGAATACAAATTTTTTTCATTATTAATTAGAGGCTTACTGAATCGAAACTTTTGGCAAGCAATAAATTTAATTAATTTAACTTACTTGAATAATATCCCATTTGTTCACATAAAAATAACAGCATCAGAAGGAACAATGAAAGTAGGACAAAATGAATGCAATTTATTAGACAGTCCTTTCGCATCTGTTATTTACATAAAGTAAAACTTGTAAGTAAACCTAATTGTTCGATTTATTGTTAATAGTATTGATGATAATTTTTTGTCATACGACACGTGACCCCACGCCTTATGTTCTTTCCTCAACATTGTTTTAGAACAATAATTCTATTACCTGCACAATACTTATGCATCAGTAACAACTTCAAATTTCAATTTTTATGACAAAATGATTTCTCTTTATAACTTTCTATCAATTACATATGCAAAACAGACTAAAATATTAAGTTATAAATGCAAATTCAATAACTGTAAGATTGTTTCTCAAAAATTCCGTTTTAATTGCTATTTTTTTTAGTTATTCCAATGCATAATTTGAAGAAAATCTTAGTTGAAACTGATCTGCTCCAAGTACATGCAGAAACTGTAATTCTTTATCTTTTGTATTCAACAACTTTGTATTTGTCTTACCTAAAAATTAAATCTTTGCTATGCTATATAACTTATATGAGATTCATTGCTATTTCTATACAGAACCACCATTATCGCTATCTCTAATGTTATTATCACTACTGATACTATCAATATTAAAAGAGTTCTCTATATTTGAGCATCAAAAAGTCTCACGTATTTTGCTATATATCTAAAGGAGCAACATTTTTGAATAATTCATTTGGGGTAAAAAAGCTGCATAAAATGTAAATTGTATTAAATACTATTAATTTAGTAAGGCTCATTTTCATGAATAAATTTGAACAGACATTAGTTTTTTAGTTGTGATTTATTGAGAAATAAGTTTGAAAATTTCAAAAAATATTAACTTTCTAGTTTTTATTGCTTATGAATACTTTTTTAAAACTAAATAATTCTAGTAATATTTTGCGCTTTTATTCAAACAACAACAGTTACTTTTTCTGCTGCATATATATCCAGCATGTCATCATTTACATCAAACTAAATTTACATATTCTTTGCATTTGTCTCTTTTCAGTCCACTTTAGCTCTACGTAATAAACGTAAAAATGCAAATTTTTAAGCGTGAGACGCCTGCAAGCGTTCCTGCAAGTGAAGCATCGGAGCGAATGCTTTCATCACTTCTTATCTGTCGTCGTTTGAGTGTTAGCTTTGTGAGGACGTTTCACGCAGATCCCAAATGCCAGTACTCCTTCGTTCTTTCCTTCCACCAATGACAGTAACCACTTGAAATGGTAGGCGGAGTTTTCCTTCGTTGCTCGCCTCATCAGCCATTTCAGTTGAAGTTAGCAGAGGCCTGTAGCATCCATCTGCCCTCTGACCTCTTCAAAAATATTCAAAATTTATAAATTTTCAGATCAGTCAACAACAGATCAATTGATCGTATTCGGCAGCTTATTTCATTTTCATCTGTGAAAGGTCAAAGGAGGCTATGCTTTTTTTGACTAATCTTCATTTATTGCGATTTATTACTTTTGCTACTATTTTAACCGTAAGTTTTTTCTATTATTTATTTTTAGTTAGTAATTATTATTCAATAATTTATAAACATTTGATTATCACCTAATAATTACTATTATCGTTTCTAAAATCTTTTAGCACTACTTATAATTAAATCTTGCACTATCTATTACTTATTCTGACATAATGATTATTAAGAGTATTTTGATTTGATTGTAATAACTGTTTGAAGCAATAAAAGAAGAATATTTTTAGCATTCAATTATTTTAGAATTGAAAACTAAAATAGAAGTAAAAATAATTTAGAAACAAAGAAAAATAGAAATATCAAGCAGTTTCCATTAGGAATAATCTGCGGATTTGCTAGTA